GGCACTTCTCTGAAGCCCTCTATTAGTTGATATATCAGCTTGTTCATGTTTTATGTTGTTGTTTTTCCAATATACAGTTGGAAAAGAAAGAACCGCCTGATGACGCTGGGGTGTATGCCTGTAAAGTTTTAAATGCAGTTCTGGTATTTAGCCTTTAAACTTAATGAGATTAAACACAGACTCCATCCATACAATTTACCCTAATGACTGCTTTGTAGTTGTTTTCGGCAGCCAAATCGTGTCACAGTGTCTGCCATGATCGGGCAGTAGCAGCTACTTTTAGAGGAGAAAACAGGCTGGAAACCGCCTGCTGTGAACTCAGCTGTGGCCAAACTGCCCAGGAGTGGGCTGAGAGGCTGCCAGACTGCTGGGAAGCCGCTGCAGGGACCTCCTCACCTCCACCCTTCGCCCTTCATGGCCAAAGCAGTGCTTGTTCCCTGCATCTGCACTGGGGCTGGTCTCAGCACGTCCCCTCCAGAGCCCCTCTGCGAGGAAAGCCGATGCTATGCACGGCTTTTGCCAAGTTAAGAATTTGGGCATTTACATTTTTCAACACCAAAATAATGATAAGCTCATCACCTTGAGGGTGGATAGCCTCACAAACTGCCTTTCTGGTGGTGTAACCTCTCCTTTCTGTTTAGGACAGTGTTATGCTACTGTGACCATTTTTACTGGTAGGGAAGTAACTGCTGTGTCTGAGGCTGTGGTGAGGGTGAGACTATGGGGCTTGCTTTACCTATATCCAGTTAAAGCAGTAAAATTTGTGTGTGCAAATACTCTTTGAGATTTACAAATACTGAGAATCTGTTGCTTTTATTACTCAAGGCAAAAATCCACCATGGGTGGTGGAATCAGGTCAGCTCACGGTGACTTTTTTCCACACAGACAACTTCACCCTGAAAATGCTTTCTTCTCCCCTGTCCTCCATATCCCACCCAAATACCTAATGACATAGATCTAAGCTAAGGAATTGCAACTGCAGCAAAGTCTTAGCTTGAAAATAAAGCTATGCATAGCCCCTGCCCTGCTGTGCTGGGGAATGAAACCCATGGGACGGTCCGTGTGGGTCCAGCACTGACTTCTTCAACATGAGCAAGCAAAGAGCTGCGGGGCCAGCGATCTGGTGGGGCTCCCTGTGAGCTGTTGGGCTCAATTTCATCTTGGAACTAAATCTGCACAAGGAGGGGCACAGGAAATATCTTTCTAGACAATTTTCACTGTTAATGTATTTATACTTTGACAGTGGGCACTGCTGAAAGGCTTTGGAGGCTTTGGTGACACCAGTGATCTCTATGAGGACTGGCTGAGGGAAATCATCTCAAGGCACCAAGTGATGCTCATACAATAATGCGTGTTAAATTTTGTGTGGATGGTGTCATTTGGGCTCAGTGCTGTAGCTGAATACTGATAGTTTAAAGCAAGAATAAACCAAGGCCACCCCACCAATGAAGAAGAAATCTGCAGAGATGTACTGACCTTTTGTTCATCACTTTAGTTTTCTTAAGCAGCTTTATACAGCAAGTCCCATGCAGTATGAGTTTGCAAAAATGTATTTAATTTTTATTAAGAAAGACCTTTGAGTGTAACCTGGAAGGATCAAATTAGAGATGGACCCAGTTCACTCTTCTTCCAGGATCAGACTGTGTCCCTGTATGGCTTCTTCTACATGAGTGGGCACATCCATCTCTCAATACAAGTGTGTGATTCCTATGATGCATCAAATCCAAACTGAATAAGAACATGTCTGTAGATCTACAGTAGGTGTGTGTAAAAATACATACTAACATTTTGGAGCACATTCAGACCGATTGCTAAGCCACGGTGAAAAATGGTCAACAAACAGTGAAAGAACAATTTTACTTGGCATTTTATTCACTTAACAGAAACATTCACTTATCAGGTATCACTGAAGTGCAATTTACAGAACTTAGCAGCAAATTCACATATGTAAATTCAGATTTATTTTCTTTTGTTGTCTTTTTTGTTTCTTTTTTTTACAAATATTACAAATGTACATCCATTAGTACAGTATTGCCATTCACTCATGCGTGTTATGTACAGAATCTTCACTAAGAATTACTACTGAGCAAGTTTTCCTTTGCTTCAGGAAATGCTGCGTGTAGGTCATGTGTGCTTCTGGGATGTGGTCCCATCACACTCTATCGCTGCACGTAATGAGAAGAAGTAGACATTTAAGGTCGTATTCAACCCTAGTGCAAGCAGGTGCAACTCCATTGCCTTCAGTGAGATCAGCTGATGCCCACTTGCAGTGGGGACGCGGTTTGGTCGCCACTACTAAATTCATTCCGGCAGCTGACTCCAGGATTGCATTTATGTATTTCTTACAACAAAGGATAATTCAATCACACCGTACCTTTCTTTTTGTCCTTAAAAATAACCAGGCACAGTGTTTTGTCACAGTAGCTGCAACACTGGCCTGTGGAGCTATATGCATTAGTTGAGCTGACGTCATGCCAGGGCTGGAGAAGGGTGGATGAGGGCAGGGAGATGTAAGGAGGAGCCTTGAGGTCTCTTGTGTGCTAGATAAAGACTAACCTGGAGAGGAAAAGTAGAAGACACTGCTTCCCCCTGCCCTGTGGATCTCCGCATGAGAAACCTTGTCCTCCTCTCTGGTTGCCCTGTGGTTTCTCTCCCTCGGTGGGAGCAGCCGGAGCCCCTGGGACCACCACTGCCATTGTCACCCACAGCTTCTCCCGCACCTCCAGTCGTAGGCCTGACTTCCCACCTGCCCGCTGCCCCTCTGGGCACCTTCGCTGCCCAGTTCACACTGGAGGTCTGCACCAGTGACAGCTGTGTTAGAGGTTGGGACCATGTGGAGGTACCGGGAAGCTCCAGAAGGTGCCAAAAATATTCTGAACGTTAATCAGAAGAGCTGACAAAGTGGTCGAAGTATTGACAAAATGGTTACACAAAATGCTTCCATTATTGAAATGTCTCAGGTGGTTTTGTTTTTTTTTTTAACTATTTCTACTCTAATGATTTTTGTTTAAAATATTTTTGGTAGTTAATATGGAATGTATTATTTTGCTGAGAAGGTTTCTGGAAGGGGAGAGCTTTGTTTTATCTAATTTAAAAATTCTAGTTTATCACAATTGTTTTTATACAAGACACTATAGATACATCTTGTAGTTTATAATCTAAAAATAAAATCTCATCAAAATACTGTAGCTATTCTATTGTGGGCATCAATAAACAATGTATTTACTGTATATGGCTCTCCAAACATGATAAACCCTATATAAAGAGCATCTATCTTTATTGATAGGAACAGTTTCCCGTGTAAAGGAAATTACATGGAAAAATATGAGCCTTGTGTTGTTTGAAAAGTAACTCAGCTTGACAGTTCTGAGAAAATACCAAGACAATTATCACAAATCAGTAGCAGCATGTTCTATACAGATTTAAAGAGAATCACAGGAATAAAAAGAAAACAGTAGTTATATACCCGCAAATCCTGTCATTTAAAAACCCCAAAACTGAAAGAAATATACAGGGCATTTGAAGGTTGGTTCTGCAGTGGGACTATCAAAGCCCAGTTCTCCCATGACTGTATCTTCTGCATTCTGATGAAGTTTGGGATGGTGCAAAGATGAGATTATATCAGACCCAGCCACAGTTACGAAGAAAATATTTAACTGTTGGGTGCTACTCCCCTCCTAACTGAAAAACCCCACCTGCTTTTCAAACTGCAGATGATAATAATAACAACAATACTTGGCATTTACACAGGGCCAGAATCTGAAAGCTCTTATATTGAGTAAGACCTTACCCTAGCCTGTAGTTGCATCTGCTGCACTTATGTCAATTGGACTATGTGGGGAGGTAAAACTCACTGCAAGAGTGACAGAATCTGGCTTGCACCATTGCGTATGACCAGAGCACTTTGTTCCTGCCAAGTTCCTTAGATGTGAAGCAGGTAAGTAGTATTATCCCCATTTGACAGATGGAGAAACTGAGGCAGGAAAGAGCCAAGTATCAAATGTATCTCTAGTTTGGGATGTCTTAGTCGTGGCTACCCAACCCAACGATTTTTCAGATGTCGGAGCATCCTGAGCTCACACCCACTTCATTTAGAGCCGTGGATCCTCACAAGGTTTGAAATCTGAGGCTCTGGGTCCTGGCTCCAGCCTGCCTGATTTTAGGCAGCTACCTGAAGCTCCCTCCATCGTCACACCGGTCTTCACCGGTCTTCACCGGCAGCCTCTGCAGAACTGTGCCCTCTTGAAGAGCATCTGCATCCTGGCTGGTGTCTAAAGGGCATGTGTGATGAACTGGGCCTGGGTAATTAAAATTTGCAGCGTGCAAGACTTGTGGCCAGATTTGAAGATTTGGTAGGAAGTGGTTTGTCCGAGGCGTCAGAGGGAGTAAGTGTAAAAACCGAGGGAAGCCTGACACCCGGCTTTGTGCTCAGAGCCAGCAGTGGAAAGCAGAGTTTAAAAATGCTGCATATCTTTGAGGTCCAAATTCTTTCTCACAGATTTAGGCAGCTAACAGGATGTTTTTTGCATAGAGGTTAGACATGGATGATTATGGATGCTCTGAGACCTGCTGTCATGCCGTGTGCCTGGGGTGCTTCCGTCTTTGCTCACTATTTTCCATTTTTCAGTGATGACTCTTGCACTGATTGTGTGAGGGAAAACAAACTCTATTTTGGATCAGACAGGTGGCCTGCTAATGCCTCAAATCAGTAATAACCAACAGCAATAAACAATGAAAAGCAGTATCTTTTTGGGGGTGGCATTACAATTTGGGCAGGTACATTTCTGGGAAGGGATCATGAAAAAGCAGTTTTCTAAAGTCGAGTTCAGTGCATCAGACACATTTCTATTTATGTATTTCCAACACAGAATTAAAAGCAAATATTTCCATGGAGGTTGCTATTAAATCTCAAACTGCTTCAATTCTCTCGGCTCACGCATCCTGCCTAGCCTTCTCTCCAGCTGATTTGATCCGGTCATGTAGCAAAGGTGTCAAGTGATTTATACAGTTAGTAAGAACTGATCTTGCTCTGGGGGTTTCTTCACCCAGGTGCCCAGACCGGCTTTCTGAAATGCTTTAAACAGCTGCTGCTTGACAGACTGGTACGTCTGAGCCACCAGCTTTGCCTCGCTGTACACCGATGGCATGTCTCCATGGCTTGGTATTCGTGTGCTCAGCTGCAGAACAAAAATCAGAGAAGGGGAAAAAAATAAAATAATTAAAAAAAATCAACTGATGAGCCAAAAGAAACAGGAGGCTTCAGTAGCTGTATAATCTTCCTGCCTACATTTCATAAGCAACAAACAAACTATCACTGTGCTTTGTGTGTTTGCCTTTGGTTTAACAACAAAAAAACAGGGCAGCAATAAATGCCTGTGACATGGTTTCGAGCCATTGCAAAGAGGAACGGGGTAAACAGCTTTGCCTTGGAGTGGGCATAGGCAGTAGCTAATCTTGGTGTGTTTTACAAAGGCAAAAACCTACTTCCTAATATAAAATGATTTTTAGGAAAAAAAAAGGGAAAAAATCCTTTCTGGGGATCTTTGAAGAATGTCCTCTGTTTAGCCTGGGAAGCAGGGCAGCTCAGTGTTTCCAAGTAGTGCCTAGAGACGCAAGAAGGAGGGTCCCTTCCCACACTCTCCCCTTTTCCCTCTTTAATGCGTTATCCTAAGAGATGCTGTGAAACCTGCCCAGGACAGGGCAGAAATCAGGCGTGAAGATTTGTGCTGATGTGGGAAAACCCAGTGCTCTGCTGGGACATCGGAGCTGCCCGCCGGGAGCTGCCTCGGGAGACAGCAACACATGTCCACTGCCCCTCGTCACCCAGAGCACACACGTGGGAGCAAGCACCCTTCGCTTTGCATAAGGACTAAATTAATGACCTCCTCTGACCTGCCCAAGTCTTAACAGTGCCAAATCAGCAGTGAGGTTTTGACATTATATGAAAGAAACTGAAGTCTGGAAAATGCCTTAGAGCAAGCAGGCAGGTGAAAGTCCAATGCTTACGAGCCAGGGAATAGCACCCTGTAGGAAAAAGTACCCTCGAAACACGGCCTTGGAGAGCAAACAACACTGTTTTCCTTCTGTCTAAAGAGGAGAGATGCTGAAAGGCAGATTAAAGGAAAAGGCGAATGCACAGCCTGAAATGAGCTGCTCCAGTCCGGGTGGCGCTGGCACACCATGGGGTGTATTGGCCCAGCCTGCAAGGGAGGGTGATGCTGCCAGCCCAGGCGTCAGTGGGCCACAAGCTGGCCTGGCCAGTGGTGGCTCCCCTCCAGCTGCCCCTTTGTTACCCAGAGGTGGACACCAATGACATTATCAAACACTTTGTTTTGTCAAAAGCAAAGTGCCCTGCTCAGCCATGAATTACTCCCTCCTGCTCACCCCAACCCCATCCCCAGTGCCAGCCAGGTGTAGTTCAGCTCTTCCGGCCATAGTCCTGGCCATAGCCTGCCCCAGGGCCCAGCTTGTCCCAG